AAGTATATAAGTATACAAGTATATTTAAAAATAAAGCAAAAATAGATGGTATATATTTTAACTTATAACGCCAATAGATTTCCGCATCACCCTTGATGAGGTATTATTGTTGATGCATTTTTTAAAGCAATACTTATCAACTCCATGCGATTTCAAACTAATGTCATCTCAGAGATCGAGCGTTTTTGTCTCCGAGAAGCCCTGAGATTGGTAACAGTTGGTGGTAACTATAGAAAAGTGCGAACTGGCGGCAGCCTTGATCTAGCAGAGATTCAATGATAATAGAAAAAGATATATAAGTGTTTAAATATGTACACATGTGTATGTATTTTGAATATTACAACTTAATCGAAGATGAAACGATTGGGGAAGTTTTCAGTGAGTTAGGAAAAAGTTGATTATAGCCCATTGGAGCGTTCAGACCAATCTGGAAAATTGTTTTCTGGGCGTTTACCTATTGCTTTGCAATGCGTTGCAGTTGAAGTTGAAAGCTTCCCACAAATTTTCCGCACGCTACTTTGACATATAACTTCGTTTCATGAACACTTTCCAGAGAATTTTAATTCTAGCACTAATTACAAGGATATATTTTACAGATTTATTTTAATGTTGACAGGCAAATATCTCGAAAGTATGTAATTTTACAAAAAAACATTTGAAATAAAAGTTGTATAGTGTAACGGGAGACATACAATGATGACTTTGGTTTGACCTTGAAACGTCTATTTAACCTGGAAATAATCACCCGGTCATTTTATACCCCAACGGTCAGGAAATGCAGCTCACATCGCAGTGGACTTTTTTTATTAATCGGGAAATAATATATACCCTTCATTTGGGCATTTAGAGACCCAATCTATGCAATAAGAATAGGCTGTGATCCGTCTTATTCATAATATAAGCCTATAAATACACATTGGAGTACAGAAACGATCTTAAGTGATTATTCATGTTATAAAATTAGTCAAGTATAGTAAGAATATTGTGAAGATAAAATAATAATAAGTTTTAATGAGGTTATGTGTACTCATACCCAGCAACAAGTAATATTTACATTACATCTGATACTGACCGATAAAAAATTCATAGAGCAATCGATAATATTCTATATTTGGTTAATAATAGCGATTTTTATTTGATGTCTAAATGACCCCAGGTGATCGTTTGCGTAAAAAAAAAAAATAAAGTGAATATTCCAAAGTTTTAATCAAATGGAGGTCAACCTAATTTTTTCAAATCGATATCCCTATTTCTCTTTGCATTTTTAAGTTCAGTGTATTTAAGCGAACATTTATAATATCTCGATAATTTTTTATATCAATAGTTTCCTGATATTTGGGCTCAAAACTGAAAAATTGTACAATCGACTTTTGACTGCGTAATAATAAACCGCTTATAGCGCTATCCAGGATTTACGATGTGAACGTAGCGGTAATTTGATCTCTTTTATGATACTTGATTTTCGTGAGTCCTCTTGTCTCTCACGTTTGAAGTACTTGATTTCCGTGAATCACAGGCCACTACTTATGCACTTTCTAGGACGCGTTTCATTAACAAGTGACCCAAGGCGCTACATCAGTTCGCGGCTGTGGACAAGCCACTTTAGGTACATAAATTGATAAGAAGAGTGTTAAAATTAACACTAAGTTTCCTTCATCATTTTTAACATGATTAATTATTCATCTAGCGAAACTGTCGACATAATAATTGAATATGAAAGGAGCAATGAAAACTTTAGAAAATGTGCTCGTCAGTTTGCATTACGGTATCCAGATTGTCGATATTCTAGTTACATATTCATCCTTATAAATAGAGTTCGTGAAGGTAAAGTAGTTTGTAAAAAATAATATAATAAATAATAATAAAATAATAAACAAATAAATAAACAAAAATAAATCTTTAACTGATGCTAATGTTTTAAATACAACTTATTTTAGAGATGACAGTGATAAATCCTTCCAGATTAGCCAATGTACAATCAGCCGAGAATTCAATATTTCTCAGACAACCCTCACAAAAATTTATTATTGCTAAACTTTTGATTAATTACTTATTTTGAATATTTAAAACACTGTTGTTAATAATTAGTAGTAATTAAATTATAGAGCTCGTAGTGATACGAAATATTTCAGTGCTTATGGTTGTAATGGTTAAATACTATCTTATCATTAATATGAATATTTAAATGCTATTGCTTAATAGCGCGGTAGTGATGAAATGTACCCTTACAGAAATTTAATACTGAGTAATATGGAATTTGCAATGATTAAGTATTGAGAAAGCGGTTCTAATATGGTAGGTAGTGAGCACACATCAAGCAAATGTTCCAGTAGCAAAAGATCTAGGATGCCTCACTGCTAATTAAATGACCAAGGTTCGATATTGCCCTGAGCCTGTATTTTTTCCTTTTTTCTTTTTTTATTATTACTTTTTTGAATATTTTACTTTTATTTTATTATTAATATCAATAAAAAACACAATTTTTTAATGTATATAGTTTGAAATATTAGTCAATGATTAAATATTGACCAAATAATTACTGAAATACTATCAACATTTAATCATAAATTCTCTAATTCTCAGTAATTTTCAGTATTATTGACGCTATTATTGACATTTCTGTAAGGGAACTGTTCAGCGAATTTTAAAAGCGAATAATTTTCACGTTCATCACACTCAACGATATCAAACACTTATTAAAAATTAAAAACGAGACGCATTGAATTTTGTCATTGGAGTTTGGGGAAATTATAGGAAGATCCGATTTTTTATGATAAGATTTTATTTATAGACGAATCAACGTTTCAAAATATTGGGGAATGAAATCATCATAATTGCCATTATTCAGAAGTTAATCCATTTCGTCATGTAAATCATTAGCATCAGTGGAAAATAAATATTTAATGTGACATTTCGGACGGCCAGATTATTGGACCTTATTTCTTTGCAAATAATCTTAATCAGAAATATATTTACTCTTCTTCAAAAATAATTTACTTGAATTATTAGAGAAGTTCAAATGGATGGTAAGACCGCGGTGATGCACATCTTGCTGGAGGGTATGTATTTGCAAAATGCTGCGATATGCCCAGTTGCACGCTTTCTGCAAAACTACCACCTAGTCCAATCATCTAACGTCCTTACCGCGAATGGGCAACATAGTTTCGGCCACAGCAAATAGATGAGGGGCGAAAGGCAAAACTCTGGCGCCTAAAAGTGAGAGCAAACCAGGTAAGGAAAGGAAAATCTTGACATAAAACCATCTTCTAACTTAATATGTTAGGTCCCGTACCGAGAGCTGCGAAAAAAATAAATAATACAGTCCCAAACAGCCCTCCAGGGGATCTGGTGTACCTCCTGGAATAATATCCGGTGGCACTTTCACTCCAAGGGCACAGGAGGCTCTGCCCGGTGTGACCGGTTTTGACTCACCATACTCGTGGAAACAACATTGGAAATTCAAGATAACAATAATAACACAAATAAGCTAAAAAAGAATGAAGCATCGTCCCTAATCAAAAAAACCTTAGTAGATGGCTGAGGAAAACAGTATTACTACTGGTATCATAATGTCAGAATATAAACCGCAAACACAGAACGAATGGTTCTTGTGCATGAAAACGGACAGAAGAAAAAACCGATTAGAAGCGACAGTAAAAGCATTACCACAAGATCAAGATCCAAAGCGGCTAGTCTATGAAACAGACGAAGACGAGCCAAAGTGGGAAACAGAACGATATGTGCATAAATCGGGGAAGAATAACAAAAAGCGAAAGGCTAATACGTCTCCTGATGCATCTCCGGAATTGTTATCTTAAGAGCAGACAACAGATAAAAACAATAATGAAAAATAGATCAATCCGATTTCTACTACCACAGCCTCACTTGATGTAGTTTTAGGAACGAATCTCCAAAGCAATCCGTTGAAGCTTTCATTATTATTTTGGGTAAAACTACCTAAGCGTTTTTCGAGCAGCCGTTTGTCAGTCAAATCTTCATAAATTTAAGTAACTGCATTGATAACATCATCTGAGAGCGGTGTGTATAATCGCTCAATTGTCCTGTAGTTTTTGCTTGCTGCCAAGTGTACCAAAATTCTAGTCACTCCGGACAATAAAAATGACCAGACGGAGTCTGGTCATTTGAACTTTTATGATACAGAGTGGTCCAAATTGGGTGGTATATTTCACCCACAAAATTCTAATGTCTATGTAACGTATAAAAATGACTCAAGAATTCATAATACATATTCAATAACAAAAGGCACACAAACTACAAAGGATCTAGCTTTACAAATCGGACCTTTTGTAGTCTTGTCGGAACGTAAAATTATGAAACCCGATAAGTCGCCCCGATAAGCAGGTAGGCCGGAGTGCTGATCATCTTCAGCCAGCGCGCGACCGAGTGCGCTATTCCATCACAATTATTATAGTTCCGTTGCAAATTTCAACCTAATATTTTAAAAATATATTTTGAAGACTTCAAGCATTATACAAATGTAAAAAAAAGAAAAATCGAAATTTTGGACCCGTCACAATAGTTTTCCTTCTTAAAACATGTTAATAAAAGATATGTTGGATTCAATATATCTCATATTTAAAATACATATGAAATGCCCGTTTCAAAAGAATTGTTTAAAACAATCCTGAAATTAGATTTTTCATTCTGTTTTTTTCTTGTGCAAATTAGGCTAATATATTCTGAATGAATATTTAAAAGTAACTAACATCCGTCATTTTTTATTTTATAACGTGGAATATCTTATTGCAAGAAGTAATATGTAATTATCATTTTTACTCATTATACATATTAAATATTATTTTTATTTTCGATGAGATGTCAATATCTTCTCTTATTTTCTGTGTTTGCTGTGAGATTACCGCCAAAGAAAATTCGAGAAATGCGATTACGCACCTTGACCGCAAAAAAGTTTCTCCATGTATGATAATTGTTATAAGAAAATCATATTATAATCGACGATGTTATTTGTTTCTTTTCAGATGGCGACGGCAATTTGTGTATTCTAAGACGATAATGGAACGCTGAAAAGCCTCCACGTGAAAGTGGATGAAGAGGGCGGAGCACGAGGATGAATGCTTGTAAGAGTTAAAAGCGAAAATCTACACAACGAATAACAACAGCCTGCCTCGTCCATTGCGACCAGCCACATATCTCACGTTAAGGTACATTAACAATATGCATGTGAGAAACAATAACGAAATGACGGTACGCGTAAAAAAAGATACTTCAGGCCTCTGCACTCTTCTGTTACTTGGAAATACGTTCCAAGTAGTTTCTAAAAAAGTTTCTCTTCGAGTAACAATGGTGATTTTACTCAGCTTTTTCTTTTATTGTTTCTTTTATCGTTTTTAGGAGAGACAAATGACGACAAGGGATAAATATAAGAAAAAGTAAAATAAATATAAAAATAAATATAAATAAATAATACGTAAAATTTTGGAGAAAAGTGACATAAAAGAAAAAAAAATGTATGAAAACATAATTCAGCTCAAGGTCAAAGCACTTCAGTCACTTTGTCCTAGTGACACCGTTCGATGATTTTCGTTTCTCTCACGATTGTACCACGTTGTCCGCGCAACCTTGTCCCTTGTTTATTCCTTACCCCGCTTGTCTTTTCCGCTTCGCGTGATTTCTCGTGTCGTCATGACTCGTGCCACGCCGTAATTAAACAGCCCCGATGAAGTCGACCTCTCCTAATCCCGGATCTCTCGCGACTGCTGCTCGACAACTTAACGGTCAAGTTCCTCCTTCGCGACGTTAGCCGCGTCGATAAACCCGCCAAGTTGGCGAACATCTTCTAGCGCGGTCAAGTTCTTCCATCACGAAGCGGTAAAGCGATAAGCGAAAAGAACACGAAGAGAACACGCGTAAAATCGCTCGAAGGAAGATATTCGTAGAGGCTCTTTTGATTTCTGCACCGATCGATCGCGTAAACAACCGTGGATTACTGAGATACGTCGCGAGCGATGTCTAAAGACATTCCAATCTTGATAATCTTGGAATGTCCCGCAAACACGTCTCACCCCGCGAGTCTCCGATATTACTTCCGGTTATGTAAGGGATTCATATGAGAATATGACAAAGAATTTTGTCCATGCAAACATGTGTCGACTATACGATGTTGCTTCCAACGATACAGCGGTGGCCGGCTATAGACGAAGACGGGACGGGTTAAGATTTGCGAGACTATATAAAAGATAGAGCATGAATAGCGTGGCGTGAAAACGAGTCGCGGACTCTCAGAATGGAACGGGCTGAGCTACGTGACGTAGCTATAGCGTTCCGTGCCGCAACGCCCCGTATTGATCGAACGACATCAGCTGTACGCTGTTGGTAGCGTTTATATTAGTGGACGCCTGCCGGTCTGACTACCACTGCCCACTACCACTGCTCGATGTTCCCTTTTCTTCTTCCCTGCCACAACGATGTCAATGTGTCACTGTTATAACGTTTCTGATCGGTGCGGTGCGTAGAAATTTGCTTAATGTAGGGGAGCAAAACGCCGCCTATATAGAAATTTTGCTTCCGCTTTCAGATTACGTTCGTTCAAGTACGTACTGTGTAATCTGAAATGCAAATTTGAAGAGGTAGTAGGGAGAAAGTATACATACACGTGTGTTTCGTGTCGGGGTTGTTCTACTTACAAAAAACGTCAATTAATTTATCTTCGCGGTAAGTGTGAGAAAGATTTACGGAATCAGGCATTAAGCATAAAGATACACATACACATATACTTGAATACAACTCACGCGACAATTAAAATATATTATTGACTACATCAGCGTGAACAGACATCAAAATTAAAAATAGAAAGTGTCCGAATGTACAAAGAAGTAATATGTGGAACTGATCACTATTTGGTAATAGACAAAATCTTATTCCCATTTAAACACATATCGGTAAAATACTTAAATATTAAAATAACATCGAAACACTAAATATAAGATATAAATTAAAGAGTTTACAAACGGAAAGTAAAAAATATCTGTACCAGCGTAGAATAGACGAGAAGCTACAAACAACGTTTATAGACTCTGAATGATTGTATGCAGATATTATGTGATGCATTCAGGAAGCCGCAAAAGTACCAATCGACAATCCAGACAAAATATGAAAAAATCTATCTAGTGAAATCCTAAAATTGAAAATGAGATCGCCAAAAAAGGCATTGCATATTAAATATATTAATATATTAATTATTAATTATAATATATTAATATATTAATAGTTAAATAAAAAAACGAGCTGATAATCAAATTTGAACAAAAAAGCTAAAATACCTGTTCGCAAAAAAATCTCAAAAAGGAAATTTGGGATATAGAAAATGTTCGAAAAATGAAATCATATTTAGATCCGGAATCCGCAGTTCAGAAGTCTGAAAGTTAGTTAGGGATTTAAAAATTAAAAATAAGCGACACAAAAACCTACAAATTATCAATTCGGGGGGGGGGGGGGGGAAGAGATATTTCTAGAGCTTACTAACATGACCAAAAAAACGCAGAGAATATCTAAACCCAGAGATACAAGTGATAACATAGTGATGGAAGAGCCTATTCAAATAACAACGGAAATGGTGGAAAAAGCTAAAAAACATGAAAAACAACTGATAAAGGGATGACACTAATCTCGAAATCGATTTCCGGACGAATTATAGCTTGTTCGATAGTTTGTATATAGAGCATTAAAAACCCTAAAGGGGTTTAAGTGAATATGCCTTTGTTTATAAGATATTACAATGCTAAGTTAGACTGACAGAGCTGTGCACACTTGAGGTGGAATTTAACACTCTTTGTCATTGAAGCGATGTAACTGACAGGACTAAGGTTCTCATCTCGATGTTTTTGCACCGATGAGTATTCGAGCCCCGCCAACGATTTTTTCCGCTGAAGTTCCTTCATCCTTTGATGTTCGTTTTCTTCATTTTTCTTACTTTAGAGAAAAATAATTAGTATTTTGTTATGCGTATTATTTTTTTCAATTTATTCCATTTTCTGTAAGTAATTAGGGAAGTTTTAAAGTAAAATAATATGGAAACATAATTTATAATTATTTAAGCTGAATAAATTTTTCATACATTATATAAATTTAATTAAGATTCTTTTGACTTGTTTGTTGATGTCAGAAGTGAGAAATCGCATGTCAAAATATATTGCGATATATATGGAGATAAAAGAATACATGCACATAATAACGCTCGTGATCGATTCAGCATACTTGTAAAAATGTCCGAACGCTTTCCTGCAACCTGAATAATTAATCAATAAATAGTCATACAATTAACATAACAGAAATCATAAGAAAAGATAGATTAAAAACGTACATTAATTTTTAGTTATTTATTAATAGTCGAGGTTAAAGAAAAGCATTAGGATATTTTTATAAGTGTGTTGAATCGATAACCTGTGTTATTATATATATATATATATATTCTTTCATCTCCACGTACCGCAATACAGGGTGCGCCCTTAGAATCCGGATATGAAAACGTTCCATGGGAAAAATTTATCAGAGCTAATATTAAAGGTGCAAAGAAATGCTTTAATACTCAACTTAAGGGATTCTTTCTGAGACTCCTCATTCGATGTAACCATTCTGTTTCGATCATCGCCTCGATCCTGGTCCTTAAGTGCGAGCACGCCGCCTTCAACTATGCCCGATCCATAGGCCGTCTCGAAGGCGGCCCGGAAGAAGGCCACGTTGAAGTGCCTGGACTTGTTGATAATCCTCTCGACCACACCCTACATGTAGTAATTAAGAGGCTTCAGATCGGTGCTATTGAAAGGTCTAGAACTAGAAGTCCTTGGACCGGAACATGTTGACGTCAGAGTGACAATTCTGTATCAAACGACTCGTGTGAATGGGTTCGCCGTCTTGCCGAAAAATATACGGCCTTCCTGAGACTATGGTCTCCATCCAAGCCAGCACTATACCTTTTTTACCGCGCATTTCATATCTGATTTACGTTGTGCTTCGTCCATAAATTCTTAGGTCCATGATCTGATCTACCTTAGTGCTAAGTGGCATCTATAGCTGAATTTTAATATAGCGGAAATTTCAAATTCAATTTTGTCCGGATTCTAACGGCACATCCTGTATATTTTTGCATATAATTTCTCGCTTCTGCGAGGACTCAGCAGCCTTAATGTCAAACGTTTAACCACTTGAGTGGCACACATGCACTATTGCACTTTTGTATCAGAAAAATCTCGCTTGATTTCTTCGCTAAAAATGTATTGTTGAATTTAAAAAGTCGCTAATTTTATGTTTTCGATATCGAAGAATATGAATTTTATGTCAAAAATTAAATAATTTTCAATTCCCGATGCATGTCTTGTGCATCGTCATGCATAGTTTTCTATTTAATGTGTACTTTAATTTATTATAGTTTGTCTTATTGGATTTTTTTTCTTTTACATTGATTTAGGGAGATTAAAATTATGTCTTTATAATAGTTTTTGTTAAGACAAATAATATTTTAATAAACATTTTTGAAAATTATAAGCGAGCACAAGCTCGAGTAGTGTAGCAGACAGCGCACTGGGCTGCTATACTTAGAAGTCCGGGGTTCGCCTCTCGATAGAACCAAAATATTTTCATATGCTCGTGTTTTCTCTCCGACACTAGTCAAGACACACAGCAGAGAGGGTTTGGAATCAAAAAATATTACAGTAGTAAACGAACCATTGGAGTTCTTATCTCTGCTGATACACACACAGCAGAGAGTGTTTGGAGCCAGAAAATACTATTGGGGTGACAAACAATGGGGTCCTTACTTCTACTGATACACATACTTACACATAGCAGAGAGAGGTTTTGGTTTGAAGAATATATTACTTATTTTCGTCATAAATTGCTTGTCACACACTTGTCATTTCGTCACATTGCTTGTTAAAAATGAAGTTTTGAGGTCAAAACCTAAAGTTCACAAAGAGTTGTTTAATAAAAAAATATTTTAAATAGTATTAATTTCTTAGATCTTAAGGTCTCCTTAAATATACGCGCGCGCGTGGTATGTGCGTGTGGTATGTGCGCACTCGCGCGTGTACATAGAATATCTGTTTATCGTCGTGATCTTACTTTTCTGTTTCAGATGACATAGAATGGGTTGGGTGGCGCTAGGGCGGTGTGCGGGTGGTGGTGGCCGCCTCTCGTCCATCCTTTCGCTGTCTCTCACCTCTCTCGCAAGCTCCCTCATCTTCACTTCCCTCTGTATCCTCACACTTGCCTTTACTCTCGTCACCCTCGCGCGTGCTGAGGACATGTACGTATTACATAAGAAGATAATTGCTGTATGCGAATCGTTTCTTAGCTCCTCGATCGTCCGACATTTGCAATCGATTACTTTACATTTTGAAAAAATCAATAGCCTTTAAAATGCTAAAATTAATAAACGGGAATATTATTAGGAAAGGCGAGTATGATAAATGAGGACGAATCGAAAAGCTATGTCTAATTATATTGTCGTAATATATTTACGTTCCACTCTTTAAAGAGTAAGGAAGGCGGTATTATTGGTAATGATTAGTGCATATTTGATGAAATGTTTCTGCTCTGTCAATAACTTTTCCGACGTAACGAATGGCAAGTGGAACTTAATGAGTACTGTCAACGCTTTACAAAAAATCGGTGAAAATAATTGATTGCCTCATTTACAGATAATCTACACGTAATTTATTACCTCTTATTTTTATTTTTTTCACCAATAAAAATTGTTCCACTTATCTTGATATAATATTATATATTGATTCGAATCCTTCAATTGTAACTAACAGTTGTGACCACGCGATTGATACTCAACTATATATCGTGTTGATGGTCGCCCCAAGTATACTCCTTCCTTTCTTATCACAGAGTGCTCTTATAAATTGATGTAATTGATTATTCGAGAAATTCGTTCAGTTAACCATCGAAATCTTAGTCGAAGGGACCGAGATGAGAATTATTGTTAACGATGTTTGCATGTGAACGCGTGTAATCTAGAATATTTTGGATCGAGAATGGAACGATATAGAATACCTTGTTTTAATAATACGATCAGCACCGAACGATGGATGAGATCGAGTGCGGTGTTCGTATTAGGAATACTTTTGAAAATTTCCTCCTTCTATCGTCTCTATCGTACTATTTTGCATCGAATGTATTAGCGTAAGTAGACCAATGTGGAAGTTAGTGATTGTGATTTAGTCACAATCGAACCAAACAATCGTGACTCTGGTAGCGTCTTACATAGCCACGCGGTGAAGCTCAAAGCTAGATGCAATTTCGTATGTTGCTTTAGACATTGTTGCGTCTGTTTCTATTAAAAAAGATTTTTAGGCAAATATATTTCGGACGCAAAAGTGCGACATACGTTTTATATTTAGAATGTTAAACGCAACTTTGACGATTGTTATGCTCGGTTACCTCGAAGATCAACAATTCTGCCAATGATGATGCTACAATAACGTATTATTGTACGATGAGAAGATTCTTTTTGAATCAAAGGATCAATTAATTTGGTTTCATCTGAGTTTACTATGGAATTTTATCAAATGCACACACATATACAGGATTTTTCATAACATGTAAGTATAATTTTAGAAATGAATTCAAAACACAAAAAGTTTCTGTAAATCCAGTAAGTAAATTAATCGCAGACTGTGCGCAAATTAACAGCAAATTTAGTCAGAACTTCACGCCAAATCTATAGCCCTCTGTGTCCGCATTCAATTAGTGTTTTGATGACAAAGCCTGTTAACAAGCAATCGGAGCAGATTGACAACAAAAACCGCGCTAAGCCTGTCAACAAATTACGCTCAAGATCTGTTGGTGTCCGCCACCAATCTGCAGTTAGATCACTACAAGCTCTCCTCGGTTTTAGTCGCCAATCTATTCGCATTGCCTCTCAGTATTCTGTCACATTTCTGGCGACAGTTTGATAACATAATCAGATAGAATAAATTCTGTGTTGGATTTATTGCTTTTTTGCCACCGAAAACTTAAAGCAGAACTTTGTTCAGAATCTACGCAGGTTTAGTCTGGGAACATTTGTCCTACTTGACTTTGTTTCCGAGTTACAGACATCTTCGTATTTCATTAATTCTTATTAGGTTTGTTAACTTTATTAAGTCTTTCATAGACTTAAATCCGCTGAATGTTTACATGTGTAGTCACTTAAAATTTATGGTTTACAGTATAATAGTAGACAACGTTGATATACTCCGCCAACATATTGAAGAAAGTTGTTAGCGAATTAGAACAACATCCAAAATATTCGAATATATTAGAAGATCAATGATAAGACGTTTAAAAGTTTGTCTTCACCCCAAAGTGTGGTAATTTCAGAAACAGAAATGTGTTCCTTTAAAGACAGAAAAGACACTACGTTAGCTCAGTTTGTAACGAGAATTAGTGAAACAAAAAACGTCTTTAAATTGTAAATAAGGTTAGATAGGATAAATATTTATATGAATTTTTCGTGTTATTTTTATGTTCATTTGAATTCATTTCTGAAATTATGTCTATATGTTATGAAACACCCTCCATACAGGGTGGATGATTTGAAGTGTTACAAGCTGTTTTTTTTCTGAAAGTACTTATTATAACAAAACTGTTTTAGATAAAAGTATTTGGTTTGAAGGAGAACAAATATAGGGATATTAGTTTGACTTTAGATAGGCGTACCAAAACCATATCAAGGTCATCATGCATGGAATCATATAGTTTTTATAACATACATCGATTCTCCTAATCATTTTGTAGACAAAAGTATTTAACTGGTAAAATGACAGGTGGAGTTTATTGCTGTAAAAAACATAAAGGAACTAAAAAAATTCGTTGTATTTCTCAAATACATTAATGCACCAATGTGCAATATTAATATCATTAACACGTTGACACTGCCAACTACGAGATATCTCGTAGGTTGTTTACTTGCCCAGGACGCTAACTACTTATCTCGTCGCTTCATTACTTGATTAAATCAAATTGGCTTCTTCGATCAGAATCGTGAAAAGTTCCGTGGCAGTCAACGTGTTAAATGATTTCTCTCATTTTTTTCCATACAAGTGTATCAGAGTGAAATTATTGAAAAAAGAATATTTTGCAAGATATTTTATATACCATACTGAAAAATATTTGAATAAAATATCTTGGAAGAATATTTAAAAATTTACTTTCCGGTTATCTTATCGTATTACTTTTATATGCACAATAAGTACAGGAATCGATTTATGTATTTAAAGAAATGTATTTAAAGAAATCATGATTCCATTAAAAAATATTGTTATGATATCCTTATCACGTCCATTCAAAATCGAACTAATAGTCAAACTAATATCTCTATCTTTTTCCTCTTCGAATTAAATAACATTTGTTTAAAAAAATTATTGTAATGCGTACTTTCAGAAATAACAGCTTGTAATATTTAAATGCTCCACTGTGTATATATATTTTCCTGCATATATATATATATATATATATATATATATATATATATATTTATTTATTTATTTATATATAGGCTGCCCTGTTTTAAATAATGCAGTTTAATATCTCTTCTATAACTCGTCATAGGCAAAAATTCTTCAGATAAAAGTTACATGGTTTGGTGAGGGACACATGAAAATGACCTTGAGTGACACATGAATTTGACCTTGAGTGACCNCAAAGTCATCTAAACATTTTTAAATAGAAACCCCTATTTTTATTTCATATTCTCGTAGCTGATTTCGAAATCTTTTAAAAATATTATAATAAAATATTTTTTCATTAAGTACCTTCTAAATTATGAAACTTGAAAGTTAGCAGATAAAGATTAAATTAACGCATTATCGTAAAACAATTAAATTCAATTAACAACTAAAAAAGAATGATGACTTTGATTGACTTTGACATACTGTTCTCAGGTTCTATAAGCGCATAATAATATAATTTAATATTAAGTAACATTTCTGGAATATTAATAGACGATTATATGTCTATCCCTAATAATATTTAAAAAATAATAATATTTAATGTTATTGTAATATTATATATTTTTTAAGTATTCAACTCAATGTAAATATATATATATATAGGGTGCTTAGGTCGAGATCATCTTGAATTTTTTAAATATATTTTTAATTCCACTTTTAGCGTTACTCAAGAATAATGACGGGGACGTAGTAATTTTCTGTTTCCTCTAAGGTACTTTATTACTATGAGTTTTCCTTACTTTTCATATTGAGGTACTTTATTAACGTGAATTCCCCTTGCCTTTTATGACGGTTTTTTTTAACGCAACTTTTTAACGTAAGTTTCCTTTGCCTTTCACGTCGGAGTGCTTATTGTGCCATTAGTGCAATACATACAAAATGTGCTAAAAATAAACGCAACATTAAGAATTTAATAAATATTCAAAAACGTTTCCCTGAACATCAATGCAACGTTGTAGCCGAAAGACGAAATGTTGAGTCGAACTTAATAACACATTTCTAGCAATTCTTTGACATATTTGTGATATTCCTCCTTTTCTCGTCGTCGACGGTCTTGCAAAAACAATGTCTTTTAACAAACCCCAGAAAGAAATTAAGTGAAGTTAGATCGGGAGAACGCGGTGGCTATGTTACAGATCCATGTCCGATCCATTTCTGAGAGAACCTTTCATGCAAAAAGCGATGCACTCTTCGATGGTTATGCGGTGGTACACCATTATACTGGAACCAAACATTCTGTCTTGTGTGGAGATCGACATCATCAACGAGAGCCGGTAAATCATTGCGCAAAAACTGCAAATAGTTCTGCCCATTTCGAGTACCATTAAAAAATAGAATCCTACAAGATATCCGTTAAAAATCCTACACGAACGTTGTATTGAATCTATTGTCTAAATTTAAGATATTGTAGACTAAAATGAACAACTTCTCGCGTGTTGTAACCTGAATTACGAAGTTCTTATTTTTTGGCAATCGTGGTCTTGCGACGAAAGTAAGTGATTACCTGCCGACCAAGCACTGATACGTGAACGCGTAATGAATTCTCCAAGTTCCCTATAAGCATGTAATATTCCTAGAATATTATACAATATTTTTTAATATTATAAGAAAGTTCTATTGATGTTATTTGTCCACTTCACGTAACATTTTTGGCATATTATAAAAATGTTCTCAAAATATAAATAAAAATAAAGTAATAATAATATAGAAAAGTATATATAAATAAATAAAAAAAAATATATATATACATGTATATATGTTATATATATACATATAAATATGAGTATATGTATAATTTTTTATTATA